TAAAGATCTTGCTCCGCGTTCCTGAGTGGATAAGTGTGAGATGGCCTTTCTCGAGAAGCTGATACATGCTTACGTATTAGGCAAACGGATTCAAATATACATAAATAAGGAAGGAAGAGTTAATATTTTAAAAAGTCCTGGCAATGAGTTCTGCTGTTTAGTCCCAGTGAATATCGAACAGCTCTCTTCTGTAGCTTGAAAATGCGGTCAAATTAAGTCGCACAATACGTACCCCAGAATGGAAGGGCATATCTGAGGTGCGACTCAAAAAGTGCATAATAAACAGTTCTAGCCACTGACAAGTTAAGCTCCTTAAAAACAGATCTTCGTTAAACTGGTACAAAAAATACAGCCCTTATTTCATAATTCATCAATAGTTTACTACGTACAAACAAGATTTTATACTAAGTATCTTCTAAGCAAGACATCCTGTTGAAAGCTAATGCCTTTAAGCAACTTCATCATCATCATTTTCCGCTTATTCAACCATTTCCAATTATGGGCCCTATGCGGGCCCAAGTTATCCCTGCTAATTTCCTAATATCATTGTCCCATCTCAGATTCGGTCTTCCTCTAGGTCTCTTAATTCCTCGTGGGTACCATGCTGTAATTCTTGTGGTCCATTTATTGTCCGTTCTTCTTGCCAGGTGTCCTGTCCAATGTTATTTGAGGGATTTGATTCTGTGGATGACATCAATTAGCTGGGTCTTTTGTCGTATCCACTCTATTCTTTTACGGTCAGCATATTTCGTTCCATTGGGCGTTATGCGACTTGCAGTTTCCTTATGATATCCGTTTTAAGTGTCCAGATTTCGCAGATTGAATTTCTTCCATTAGTCTTCTTCTTCTTTCAGTGCCTATCCTCTATGGATGTTGGCAATAATGTTGGTCCATATAATCCTATTGACAGCCGCGCTGAATAAATGTACGGTCGTCATTCCCGTCCACTGTCTAATATTTTTCAGCCATGATGTTCGTCGGCGTCCCTAACCTCTTCTGCTATGTATTTTGCCCTGCAGTATTAGTTGGATAAGTTGGTATTTATCATTTTGCATCACATGCCCAAGGTATGTCATTTTTCTCACTTTCACGCTATATACAATTTCTAGTTCCTTTTGCATTATTTGGATCATGGTGTTGGTTGTGACATCTTAAGTGTATGAAATCCTGAGCATGCGGCGATAGCACAACATTTCAAAGGCTTCCAAACGTTTAGATGTAGCATCTGTCAAGGTCCAAGCTTCCACTCCATATAGGAGCGTGGAGAATACGTAGCACCTTAGGACCTGCGTTCTTATAGCAATATTCAGGTGCATATTGCATAGGATCTTTCTAAGACGGTTAAAAACGGTTCTGGCTTTTTCTATGCGGCATCTGATCTCTCGTGAGTGATCCCATTCCTTGTTCAGGCTGCAGTCTAAATACCTGATTGTATCTGCTGTTTCCAAGGTTTCGTTATTCGTTCTAAACTGGTAGTACTTCGTCTCGTCATTTTTACTGACAAAAATTTTGGTCTTCTTGCAGTTAAGCCTCATACCATACATATCATTCCATTAGTACTATTCCATAAGTACTCCATGCTAACTTAATTCTTCTGTTGATCTCTGGTAGTAGAGATCCCGCGCTGTGTATTAGTTGTCTCAAATATATACATTCTTCTACTGATTTCAGTATTATGCTATTTATTAGAATGTCTTTTCTTTCCACTAGTTCCTTGTACATTACTTTAGTTTTTGCTAAATTCATTTTAAGACCCACTTTATTGCTGGCTGTATTTAATTCATTCATTTGTGCTGCATTGTAGTTCCTCAGGACCATTGTCAATCAGGGCTATGCCATCAGCGAATCTTAGATGTTAAGATATTCTCCATCTGTTTTTAATCCTTTGTTAGTCCAGTCCAGTTGACTGAAGATTTCTTCCAGTGTGGCTGTAAACAGTTTTGAGGATATCGTGTCTCCCTGTCGTACTTTTATGCCAGTTGGGAACTCTGAGGTTGTTTTATATATCAGTACTCTTTAAGTAATTCTTACTTTAAACGACAATTAACTGTTTACATTGAATAAAAATAGCTGTTGTTCAAAACAAATATTGATCTATCGCGAAAACATATATAGCCTCCTCGATACGTGTGTGAAGTAAAAGTGAAATTGATTTTTTCAAACGATAATATCGACCGGAGATGATTATACATTGGTGTGACAGATGCCGAACATAGAAAGTCAATTCGCCACGGTGCGACATGCTTTTCCGTGTATAACTAATTTTCGTTCGGGTCCGCTATGGCGCCCGAAATAATCGGATCGTTTTATTATCAATTTTAATTTGACCCCGATTCCGTTGTTCGAAGTGATTTAGTTTCAAACGCTTCCTGGACTGTCTCTTTCTCCCAGCAGCGCTAGAAATGATTTATATCTTTGTACGGAGTGATCACGAACGTTATGCAAATGTTAAATCGGTAGCAATATGTCGGACGTATACCTTTTACCACAAGGCTTCGAAATCGGAAATTGCACTATAATGGAAGATTATATTGGTTAGTTGTTTTTATTTTCATTGTGGAAATAGTTATTCCTATAAACAAAAGAATAATTGGTAAAAGTATATAAATAATAACAGAAAGCAAGTTGAAATATACTTTAAGTGATGATTATCCCAGCTGGGGGCAGTGTGATTTTAGTCCGTGATGTAGAATGTAGAATGTTGTGGAGGGGAGTTAATTACCGCGGCCTTACATATCTCCTACGTGTTCCCCTTTCTTGAGCTATAACGAGTTATAACTCATCATACAGTCTCAGGCCTTTAACGAAAGCGAGTATCTGAGACGGCTTCACAGAGGCCAGCTCTCTATTCTCGACAGTAATCAGCCGTACCAAACTTGATGGCACGAATGGTCGTCGTCTCGGCGCACTCAGTGATAGGGTGTTCTGCTGTTTTCCCATTTTCCCCACAGAATCTGCATTCGCCGTTGTTTCTCAGCTTCAGCCTACTGAGGTGTTCGTTGAAGAGACAGTGTCCTGTTAGAAACCCCGTGACAATCCGAAGATTGTTTTTACTTAAATCAAGGAAAACTTTTGATATTTCTCTGTCGTAAGTTCTGAGAAACTTTTTCGAGTGTCTTAGACCGTTGGAGGACACCTATTCCAATTTACGGATGGAGTCTTCCAGATTCTTCAGTTCCGCTTTCAGTTGGTTCCCGTTTGGAAAATAGAACGGTTCTTAATCGCTCCTTTTCTAGCTAGATCATTTGCTTTTTTATTGCCTGCTATCTCTTGGTGAGCAGATATTCAGAGTAGGAGGACTTTATTTTCTTTACCTAATTTGTTGAGCTTCTCTAGGCATTCGTTGACCAACTTCGAATTAATGGTTACTGAATTGATCGCGTTTAGTGCTGCTTGACTCTCGGATAGGATGGCAATTACCTGTTTTCGATAGTTCCTATACAAGATAAATTGTACGCATCTTTCGATAGCGTAGATAGATAGATTTCTGCCTGATACTTGGGTAGGTGCCCATTGGTTCGGAGTATTTAGTTTTCGGCCCAAATAATCCTATCCCTGTCACTGCTTTGGTTTTGGAAGCATCAGTATACTACGTTATGGTATGGTCTTTTACATGCTGAGTAAGGCGTTTCTTTCTTCCAATCCTTTTTATTACTCAATACTACAGTGAGGTGTTTCTCAAAGTTGTAAATTATTGGTATGTCATCCACTGGGAGTTTGAGAAGTGGAATTTTCTTTTTGAGGGTGTTCCAAGCCCCTGACCTGAAAATTCTCCCAGTACTGTTTCCGTCAGTGGTGTTAGGTCTAGAATGACCTCCATTGCTGCTGTTGGACATGTTCTCCTAACATGTAAATAAAGCGTTTTGGTGTATTGTGGTTACCTAGTGTTTTATTTTGCTTTCCGAATATTTATGAAATTAAATATTTTTAAAGCGTTTCTTTTTCTATTTCTTTAAATATTCAAAATAATAATGTATTACTATTTTTTTATGAAATAAATATGTTTCTATCAATAATTAAAAAAGGAAGTTTAATTAGCATTCTAGGAATGATTGCACAGAACAAGTGTACAAGTGTTGCAAAACTAATATAATCCTAACCGTAACCGTCTACTTCGAAGAACAACCAACATCAATATACGCGTATTTATTACTTTAATTTAAAAACAAAATACAATTATCTTTAATATATACCCATTAAAACTGTATAATTCTAATATAAATTTCGTTGAACCCGGCGCAGTACTACCTCTGACCTTTCCGAGCCACGTTGAATCTACGCTTTTTTATCCAATCCGTTATTATGTATGTGGTTCTATGCAATACCGTTCGCTAGGAGGTACCAGTAACGCCTGAAATATAACCAACTAGGTACTACACGACGTTTTCGTAATTCTAATCCAAAGTAGCTTTTATACCGGTTACGAGAGTTTAATAAAGAAATTTATTGTTGCCATGGTGTTTCGTTAGTAACAAACCAACCAACTTATAAGGTTCTTAAAATTATATATTTTATTTATAGCCAGATCAGATAGTAATTTTATAAATAAAGTTCTTAAAACTAACATCAATTTTTATATGATTATCATAAATAGTGAAAAATATGACGTTACCAGAAATTCATAAAGACATTCATAAATGTCTAACACCATGTAAAAAATAATATAAATATTTAGACAAAATCACACATCCCATTTAAAAGACAAATCGTCATGTACAAAATAAATACCCTATTATTATCTCGGTACTACTATCGTGTTATTAGAAATAATTACCGCTGAAAAGTTTCGCAAATACAAACACCGAAGAGCGTAGTTTATGCTCCTCTTCTAAGTTGTTAGAGAGACCGTAATTACGGCCCAACCGCTCAACCAGAAAAAAGCAGTACCGCTCCAAGGTTTCACTTATTTTTTGTCTGTTCTACGGATTCGTTATGCCTCGAGGTCAACGGTATTTCGTTCGAATTGTTGTTTCATCAAACCTATCAATTTTTCTTTTCAGAACCGTCATCTTAGTTTCGTTAGACGAGAAATGAAAACTTGATGGTTGTACTCGAAGAATCGCTCACCATGAAGATCAAACGATACCCTGGAAAAGCGGTGATCGATGATCCAGCCTGGCTGGAGATGGATATTCCACCCCATGCCAGGGGACAACAGTACGAAGCCAACTGGATCGATACTCAAAAGAATTTATCTAACAGTAGTTCAGCCTCTAACTCTTGGGACAAATACAGTACGAAATTAGAAGGTTCAGTGTCATCCAGGCTAGGTCAATACCAGAGTTTACTAGAAGAAATTAGAAAAGACAATAACGAAGATATTTACGCTATCCCTAAAAAGATCAAAACAAATGGAAGCATTCGTTTGAAGTACCACAGTGACAATATTCTTTCTAGGATCAATTCAAAATCGAAAGCAGACATGGAAAGACCTCCAAGAGAATACTTTTTACCATCACAAAGTGTTCACAGAGATCAGATAAAGGAACCCCCAGTTCCCAAACCCAGAGTTAAGTTACCAATTCAAAACGGACAACAGGAGAAATTTAAGACTGTTCTAGAAGACCTGCAAAGACAAATGAAAAAATCTGTACGATTTGATGAGGTTAGTACTGATATAGATCAGGAAATTGAAAAACGAGAGCAATCTGAAGACAACAGTCTTGTAAGGGTTATTGTAAATCCAACTCACGAGCTTTTAGAAAGAATTGAATTAAATATCAGTAACGACAATGAAGAAAATGGTCGTGTCAGTGAATGGGTTGATACCCAAAACCAATACTTATCAGACCAAACCAGTGATACAGGAGGAAAAGATCTTCACAGAAACGACAGTGGCTATTACGAACGATCAAAAAAGATTCGCCAAAGACTCCCTCCTAAGCACATATATCCACCTTCGGCTTCTTCTAGCGAATCTAGTATCACACCAAGCGAAAACAACTCAGCTGAACTAGACGTCGAAAATTTTCAAAATAACGAAGACGAAGAAGATGATTACAATGACTACGATGAAGTATATAGTTTATATAAGGAAGGAGTGGTTCCAGCATACGTCAGTTCACCTTTAAGGGTACCTAAACCGGTGGACAAGACGACGCAAGCTACTCCAACGTCTCCTATGAGGAGGAGTGGTGATTCTAACGATTTTTTGATTCCTAGACCTAAATTAATAGTGCCTGTGCATACGTACGCGGTCAGAAGGAGACGGACTGGTAATTTGAATAAACATGATAGTGTGTCCTCTTGTAATTACGTGTCTGCTTCGGAGAGGGATAGTGAAACTATGAAGCTTGTTCCGCAGAAAGGTATGATGATACTTTTGTTACTCTTTATCGTTTTAAGATCAATTTATATAGGGTAATTATTATCTTCTAAGGTTTCTAAAAAAAGGGTAGTAATTTCCCTGCACTATTACTTTGCATATACAAGAGTTTTAACACTGTAATTTTATTACAATCAAAATTATAAAGTCAGATATATCCGAGATACATAGGATCGACGAAGCCCCAGTTGGTGCGGTTCAAATTGATGCACCAGGTGTTGTCAGCGGGTTCAACCGTGGCGTTGCTTTGGCCAGAACAGGTTTCGTTTAAGGACTTTTTACACGTTCAGCCTTGGCTGTCGTCATTAGCGTCTGGGTGGATGCTTAGTTAAGGGCATCTTTATATACGCGTTGAATTTTTGCGTGGCTTAAAATCAGGGTTGTGTAAATGCTACGCCTTTCAAGTAATGTCTCTAACCTCTTCTTTTTTTAAAAAAATCTTAGATAGAGAGTTAATTCTGTTCATATTGTTTTCAGGATGTAAAAAAATAAAAAAGTCGATTTTTTTAATTTTAATCCGATTTTTTTTTATTTCAGTCAATTTTCTATTTAAAGTCCTATCCTAAATGGCTAAATCTTCGTAACTCTGCCCGATATCAATAATATTATATAACATTTCTATGGCGCGTGTCGTTTTACCATATCGGTCACCGATATATTTTATATTGTAAACTTTGCCGATGCTCTTATTTCCGCAAAAAAAATTGCCCGCTTAGATCAAAGGGATTTTATTGGAAATAGTCATGACTGTCTTAAGTCGAGAATAAAATTAGTACCATCTACTGTTCAAACTGCAAACTACTTATTGCAGAACAAAATGTCGGTAGAAATTTGGAATGAACTAGAAGATAAATTAGAGAAGAAGGCAGAAGTTAGCTTGATCAACATTCAGCTGTCCCAAAAAAGATATAAAACAGCCTTAATACCAGCATATTTTTTGACATTGATTATATTCCTCGGAAATAAAAATATAACCTGTCATCAGAGAAAACTAGTCTGCACTAGAATTTGCGAATGAAATGTATTCGAATATCGGATTTCTGGCACTTCACAATTTCAAAACAAATTTCTGCCATTTCGAATGGATTCACACGAAATAACTTCAAAAATCGCTTCAACATTTTAATAGATGAATAGATAGTATGTGTTATATGTTATATCTTTTACAATTATTTTTCCATTTATTAAAGTATTTAAACTTTACAACAGCAAATGTAACTTCTTATTAGATAGATGAACAGGGTATATTTGTTATAAGGAGTACTTTTTATAGCTTTATAGGAAAAGTTTTTATAACTTTTACAGTTATTATTCGATTTATCATAAGATTTTAAACGAGATGATTTTTTTTATTTAAATCACGATTTTAATCTTAATTTAAATCAACTTGATTTAAATCATTGTACCCTGATTGTTTTATTACTTTTAATTACATTAGAACCAATTTATATTTCTTACTATAATGTTTTAGGTAATTTGATATTTAAGAGTTGTAATAAATAATAGTTTACATCTACAAAGTATATACTATTCTAGTTTAAATTATGTCTCTATTTAAATTATTTAATAAAAAGAAAGTTACATGCTATGTCTATTTGATGAGAAGTTAACGATCTTAAAGACATTAAATAAATCGGTAGCTAGGTCATGTTTAAATTGACAAATAGGGAGAGAAAACAAATTCTATACTAGTAAAACGTAGCAATTTGTAAGAAAGCTGTTTGATATGGAACATAGAGAAGAAATCTTACAGAATTTACCAACTAACTCGATTTAAGATACATTTACATTAAGATATTTATCATATAAATTGGCAGAAAAGTAACACTAACAAAACAGAAGTTAGATGCTTCATTATTTTATAAGTAGTTTTTATTAAGTTTTTATTGCAAGAAATCCTAGTTTACTATTATCAAAAAATGAAATATCTTGTAAATAATAGTATTGACCATAGCCTACTCATTAGGCAGCCAGTCGGATTTTCTAGTTTTTGAATATACGCGCTTCACCTGCTTTGCCTGTTTTTGTCTTGATTTTGTACAGGTGCAGTCAGAGTACCAGTCTCGGTAGTTTTTATACAGAGTGGTCCGAACTGTATTCCGGAAACTTCGGAAACATATTCTGCAGATAAAAATAAGTAAAAAAGTTCGTATAAATGTATGTCCAAAAATGCTTAGTTTCGGAGTTACAGAGTATTGAAGTTTTATTTTTATTTCGATTTTTTTCAAATAACTTCTGAAGAAGCGTCAATATTTGGATGAAAATTGGTGGCTGGGTGTTTTTTGACATGAGAAATTTGATGTTGATGTCAATATGGTTCCTATTTGTAGATGGCGCCACCTACATGTGTTCTAACTGTTTTGAAGAGTAATAACTTTTCGTCCGTGCCTGTATAAAACTACTGAGTGAAAAAATATACATTTCCATGACTTTTTACGCAAAAAATACGCCTTGGTGAAGATCGCTACGAGCAACCGTTCTTCAGATATTTAGAATTGAAATAGTACATCATGTCAATACATGTCATTATTGACAAAAAACAAACGCGTTTTGATTAGATAGTTATTTGACTGAAATAATAAATTTAGGAAATTTTAATTTTTTTAAATTAATCATAAATTTTTCTGCAAAAAAATGATGATAAAACAGTTTCTGTTGAACTTTTGGCACTAAAACATTTCAAATTTAGGATTTCAGTCTAATAACTATTTAGTCAACATGTTTAATTTATTTCGATGCCAAATATCTCGAGAACCATTACTCGTAGGGATTTTTACCAAGAGGCCTTTTTTACGTAGAAAACGTCTTAAATGTATATTTTTTACTCATTAGTTTTATACAGGTACGGACAAAAAGTTATTACTCTTCAAAACATTTAAAACATATGTAGGTGGCGCCCCCTACAAATAGGAGTCATATTGACATCAAAATCAAATTTGCCATACCAAATAACGCCCAGACACCAATTTTCAACCAAATATTGAGGTTACTTCAGAAATGATTTTGAAAAAATCGAAATAAAAATGAAACTTCTACCCCCTGTATCTCCGAAACTAATCATTTTTGGACATACGTATATACGAACTTTTTTACTTATTTTTATCTGCAGAATATGCTGCCGGAGTTTCCGGAATACAATTCGGACCACCCTGTATATATACGAAGCTTCTATGAAGCTCAATATAAAATTAGATAAGCAAATATAAATCTAATATGTTTTTGAAACATAGTCGATCTTTTCAAAAAATTGCAGAGAAAATTACAAATTTTCATTGTAATTTTCTGTCATCAAACAAAGCACTTTTTGATCTTAAAAAAATCGGCTTCAGAGTTGACTTCTGGAAGATCGCTGTCATTTCATACGTAAATTTATGTGATAGATGTAATCGATTGTCGTTTCCAAGCCAACACGATGGATTTTTTTTCGAACACACGGTATTATTTACTTCGATATATAATTATTATATTCCTGTGGTAAAAATAAACTAGCAGGAAAAAGCTATGTTAATAATAATAGTGAAGGCAGTTTGAAAGTAAATGTGACATCAGCTAAGAACAGAAAAAGTAAACACGAACATGAACTTTGGGTTTTTTATAAAACGTAAATACTATATGGCAATAATATTTTTTCTTCAAAGTTCTACGTACTGTGCTTTAACCTTTTTCTAAAATCGTTTGAACACACTTGTGCATCCGTTATAAAAATTATTTTTTTTTTAACTAATCAAGGTTTATTTGAATAGCTTAGTAATTTATTTGTTCAATTATTTCTTATGATAAGGAAGCAATTTTATTTTTCATAACTTTTTTTAGGTATTTTTTCTATATGAAATCTTAATACACACCTTGTTTTTCTTTAATTATTTACGATTTTTGTTTTTAGATTAGTTTGTTTAGATTCTGAAATATGAGCTTTAAGTTTAATACTTTATAGTTCTAAAAAATAATATGGTCTTTACTGAATATTAATAGTTATTATTATAGTTATAAACAAACGATATAATTAAAAATAAATTTGTTTAACTAACCAAGTAAAAAAGTAATTTATTTTTTCAGTTATTTCTTATGGTATGGAAGCGATTTTATTATTACATAGGATTTATTATTATATAGGATTTTTTTTCTGAAGTCTTCTTAATACACACCTTGAATTTTTTAATTAAGATTTTTGTTTTTAGATTTGTGATTTTGTTTTTAGTCATTATACAATGACTGTGAAATATGAGATTTAAATTAATACTTATAAAAAAATCGTATAGTCTTTGCTGAATAACTATTGTTATAAACAGACAGGATTAAAAAGTAAATCCATCAAAAAACCACGGAATTGTATACAGATAGTAATCTGACCGAAGGCATTGGCCTTTCACTTTTCTTATTTAAACAAGCTTTGTTCTATATTTGTAATCAATTTAAATTTATTAAAATCCATATTGTAAGTTTATATCTATAACAAATGTTTGAGATATTCATATTTACTAATAGTATAATAGAAATAGTTGATATAAGGTCAGATCGAGGGTCAGACCATAACACTGCAATAAGAATCTTTAAATTCTAAAAAAAGATAAAAAATAAGTGTCTGGAAACTTTTGTCAGGTACTAATACCGTATGATCGAAAAAAAAACGGCGTCAAAGACGGTTGGAAAATGACAATCGATTATAATTTTGGCGAGGTCAATCTTTAGGCAGCATTTACTAAAAACTGACAAAACTTGTCAAAAAAATAACCCTAATTATAGAAAAATTAAAAATATAGGATAGGATGTTTCCAGACACACAAATTTATTTCCTAAAAATTATTTTTTTCGAATTTTTAGGCACACCATTTAAAAATCATTTTGGGTGAATTTCTTTTTTTACTTGAAATGACTTAAAAAAAACAAAAAAAATCTCCTCAAACTCAAAAGCTCCCCAAACACCAAAATCATAAAAAATTCGCTACGGAAATGCATCATTCTCTATTTTCCGACTTTAGAATA